CCGTTGGGTCGCCTCTGACCTCGACCGCCTGGCTCCTCCCCCACCCACCGGGAACAATCGGCTGTTCCATGGGCCCTGGAATGCCTTCTCGTGGAAACGGATTCTTTTCTCCTCGACGCGTAATCCCGTTCGCTTGAATACAGAATTCCGAGGGGAATAAGGAGGCGAGGGAGTAAGGAGATGGGTGTTACCAGATGCGATTCTAGTATTTATTTAATTACTAGCGGAACCCGGCAGACGTCGTTCTGCCCTTCATCTCGCTTTCTCTCCGTCTCTCCCCCTTCCTCAGTTTCTCCCTCTTTCTGTGTTCCACTCATACAAGTTTAGTTGCGGATTCTCCGAGTCTCTGAGCAGGTGGGGAAATATCGAGAAGTGTCGGACCAGCACAAATGTAATAGAATGTTCAAGAAGATCCTGCTCATCACGGTGTAAAAAACGTTTCTTTGCTCTCAAAATTTTAGATTTTAATGCCCCAGAAAGCTTTGTTTGGAGTTATTTAACGACACAGAGTAAAAAATCTTGCTGTGTGTTGAGGGTAGCATTTAGCATGAATATTTAGTTTTGATCTTTGTTCTTTCTTTTCGTGAATTTTTCCGATATTTGAATAGCTATTCTGATATTCAAGGAAGAATCCAAAAAACAGATATAATTAAAACTGGCCTAGCCGTTTGAGTTATAAATGGTTTAACTAACCTGACTACATAAAGCCAAAAACTGTAACGTATAGCGGAGAAGTACAATGTGTGCACTTTTTTTGAACTCTAAGATCGTCTCTGACAAAACTTGATAACAAGAAATATTAGCGTGAGTGTAATAAAAACTAATTACATTGACAATTAAGCTAAATTACCCATTTGATGAATATTTTCGTAAAAGTATTCAGGTGGAAAGATTTAACTTCTTATTTTTGGAGTGGAGAAACACATGGCCAACCTGAAGAAAACCTCAACCGTACGAGTCATTATCTTGTTATAGTTTAAAAAACATTTCACATACTATTTTAGATTCGTAATACAAAGCTAGTGCGTGATGTTAAATCTTAACAAAAACGGTTCATTGAATAGTAAATAAAATGTATTTTAGAACTGACCCTTATTCGTTTTGAAAACTCATGTTTCTTTTCATGACTCTAAACAATGTTTCTACTTTAACCTTTATTTTGTTGGTTTCATTAATCCATTTGAAGATCATCCTCCACATTATTACTGACGTGTATACACACGAAACAACATTCTTTCCTAAATACGATGTTTACATATATAAATAAAGACAGTAAAAAACGAAATGGGAGATTACCCTTATCTACTTGATTCTGTCGTTGTTTTTCTATCTTCACCTTCTGCCAGTCTTGCGACGGTGTAATCCCCACTTGGGCGACTAACACTAAATGGCCTTGCCTGTCGAAATGTCTACGTCAAAAAAAACTTTTAACGATCGCGTCTTTGCTCATCGCCGACCTTTTTCACGGGCAAGAAGCCATAATTAAAGCCGGTGATTCATGAGAAGTGGAGACAGATATAGGGCGCGTCCTCCCGCAATGACTGCCATCCTCATGCAAAATCCGTGATGGCGAAACGTCAGTCAAGGGCATCTTCTCTTCCGGATTTCCCAAAGAACTACGTCTAGAGAATATTTCATCCCTCGTTCAATTATAAAACACTCACACACAAAAAGTTTTATTGGGCTGCATATACTATATGGCCGAAGGTAAATATAAGCAGTCAATATGTGACTAGAGATAAATTAAAGACTAATTAAATTAAAATAGAATTAACTTAAGTACACTTTTAATTAAAGTGAAATCAATCACGCATATTCAGAGGTACATGTATTCCCTTCTGCTTTCAAAGAATAAATACCACTTCTGAATTAGTTACCAAGCCCACCATAAAAAACCGCTCAAATGTCGCTATTTCCTGATAATGCAACTATACACTACACAACTCGAAATCAGAGTTTGGCAACGCGTCTTCTTGGCATCAAAACGAAAATATTTTTTGTGAAGGATCAAGCCCAAGGTCAGATACACTATCGTACCATTAAATTTAACTCACTGTTCTTTCTCAACGAGAAACAATCGCGATGCGAACGTGTGGGGATTTTTTTTTCTAACATAGGGCGCTACATTGTGAGATGTCAAGTTAAAAATTGACGCATGACTGGTTTCAAAGACACGACATTCCGCTAGTTAGATTATCGTACCTGTACTTTGTTACTCTTTCAACACATAAACGCCATGGGGTTATGAATAACTCTCCTTTCCGTTTTAGGCAAAGCTAAAACGTAATTAAATATTTGAAATATCCACGCTCATAAATCACCAATAAAAAGCTAGCGGAAGAAAAGGATAATTTAAATTAATTTAATTTTATTTCACATATTAATTTAAAACGTACTTCTGAATAACTATAGGGTTATTGGGCGGATAAGGGTTTCACGTGAACAATCGTCATTTGTACACAAAAACACATTTAGAAATGCCGCGAGGAAGGAGTTCAAATAGTGCAAAATTTGTCAACGTAATGTAATTCTTCACATCTAAAATACGAAGTTACAGTGTATTTGAAAACACAGAGAAAGACACCAGTATATCTTCATGAATCTCTTTAAAATAATGAATGACATTGATTTGACGTTCATAAACTAACTCCCTTCAATGTTCATTTTCTACAGGAAAGGAAACCAATAGAAAGGGATAACACAATAACAAAACTAAGTCGCACGAGTTTCTAGATTTATTGAAAAAAATATAAAAATCATTAACGAAAAAACAAATATGTCCTTGAATTCTGTAAACAAATATTTCTTATCAATCACCGTATTAAGTTTCATCTCGGTGATCCGAGTACAGTTAAACAGAATTTTTCTTTCAGAATCTTCGGATGAGTAGCAAACGAAAAAAAACGGATCGAACTAAACAAATTTTGTTTTGGAGGAAAAATGTCACATCGGTTCTAGAAAATCATATTACTCTGTTTTCCACTCTTCTGAAATTTAACATTGTTCGTACAATCACACATGTTTTACTTTGAGCGATCCAAGTACAGTATCTAACGGTCAATGTCACCGTGTATTTATTGGTAGTACAAATATTTTTTTTCTTTAGCTAACAATATAATTTGCAACTCAAAACTCTATTTTACTCTAAAAAATGCACTGTAATGGTAAATGTGTCACAATATTGGTCACAATTAATAATACAAATAAATGAACCATAAAAAAATAGGAAAAACCCTCCTTTCCATTCCACTACACTTCAAATCTTGATTTCAAGTTCGAAATCCCACACTTTTTCATTCATAATATCTCCAATTAACATTGCGGAGTGCAGGGCAATATCAGGTACTAAAATCCACGACTGACCATTTCTGCCTGGGCTTTCTCGATTAGACGATTGGCAGTTCACAAAGCATTGCCAGAGCTAGGCATTACGAGGGCACTTGGTATTGGCCGCCGGGTAGAAGGGAAGCATCGAGGAAATTAGCTAAAAAAAATATACGATACGATTCACAAAAAAATCAAATCAAAGGAATGTTTATAATTAGTTGGCATCAAGCTGCAAATGCTCATGTACCACGCAGCACACTTTTCTAATGATTATGACACGATGAGACGTAATTATTTATCATGATAATACATTTAGTATCACGGCCATGATACATGATAAATGTTATGTAAAAAACAAGGTAACGCACTACCATTGTAATTATTTGTGATCTGAAAGAAGACATTCGAATGTATTCTAACTTACGTTGACACGTTAACACTTAGCCCTGAGAAAACAGTTTGACGTGGTCAATTTCCCAGAGATAAATTTTCTTATTATAAAACAGACAGCAGTTCAGGCATAGTACCATTGCTTCTTTCTTGTTCTGGACAAGTAGCAATGGATATAAAGTTCGCCGAATGACGTGGTCGAATGTATGGCTCCATCGTAAAAGCTTGGACCTGTTTTTTCATAAATAATATCGTTACCAACCCCCATTTCAATATCGTAGTCGGAACGTCTACCTTTTGCAATGGCTGCAGATACTTCCCCTTCACGAAAAACCTATACCATCTCCTCTCCATGACGTTCTCACAATATCCAGAATTTTCAGGGACGATTATCTGAAAACTATATTACAGGAATACGACCTTCAAATTCTCGAAAGCCGGGATCTACAAATAAAAAGATGTGAGATTCAAAAGCTGAAATTTTGAGAACTTTTCGATTTTCGAATATTGACCTAACACTTAAATATATTTTTAATTTATATGCTCGTTTCTAATCCGAGGTTTAACATTCCTGTATCCTTAAAACACACAATGGAACATACATTTTTATTTTGCATGTTTGTCGGCTAGATCAGATTTAACAATCATAAAATTAACCTATTCCGTAGCTCAAATTTTTTTTCACTATCGTCCAAAGTTGTCAGATTTCCTCCTATTATATATATATATATATATATAT